TTATTTGACCCCAGTGGCGATACAGCCACAGAAGGAAGGAGGGATTTATCTCTGCAGAGAGCTTCAAGCAGCTCACTTGTTTTCCCAGCACCCAGCCCCATCTACTGCCTCAAAGCAAGACTCAAAATTCAAAGTTTTCATWCAAGTTAAAAGCAAGACCCAAGTGGCACCAAAGCCACTTAGGCAGCTCAGTCAGAACTGACCTCCTCCACCTTCYCCATCCACCTGGCAGAACTTCCCAGGTCACGCAACACCTTCCCCTCCCCAGCCCACGCCAGCCTTGCCCTCCTGCCTCTCTCTTCTGAGCCCAACAGCACAAACACGTGCCCTCAGAAGGACTGAGMACCTGGCATTTGAAGTGCTTTCACCACAGTTGCGCCCACAGTAAAAATTACAGTTCCCATAAATGACATGTGCAACTATAATTTGGTCAAAGTCTTTTCAAGGCTTCCGACCGAGTAAGTTATAGATTGTAAAGGTCATCATAAAGCATCGGAGAATTTTAAATCTGTGTGACCTCGAGAGCTCTCTAATGACTTTTTATCARCTGTAACTGGGGAGCTCACGTATTCAAGCAGCAACCAGCAACTGGAAAAGTTCCTGCATACAAACCAGGAAAATTCCGAACAACACAGATATGGCCAGATGCAGCTGCAAATGAAATGCTTTGAAGAGAAATGAAGGGGCAGCCATGCTCATAACTTGTAGTACAAGCATTGGGCAGAGATAACAGAGCAAAGAAGARGTTCCCTATTCCACAGGAAAACTCCTTTCTCTTCACCTCCAGCATCCTTGCAGGACTGGAGGCAGTAGAGGAGATGAATCATACAGTGTTTGCAAGACTTGTAAAATCTTATCAATTCTGAAGTCCAATTTGTGCTAATCAGCACATATCACAAATGCAAATGATAACTCGAAGGAGCAGCTAAATGACTGGTGCAACCAGCTGAAATTGAATCATCTATAAGTTCACTTGGGGCCACAGGACCAAATCTTCTCCATCTCCCATTCTACCTTAAAAGGGACTTCCTCCCCTYTCTTAAGCAACCCTAACAGGATGATGTGTCTTGAACTGCAGTCCATAGCCTTTCTCACGAGTGCTGGCAATGGGCCAGCATCCTCAAGCAAACAAACACCACCTTCCCTCAGGACAGCTGGGTGCTGCTCCCAGCCAAGCTCTCACAGTGCCCTTCAGAGATGCCAGGCCCCTCTTGCTGTCGTGCCTGTCCCTCAGCAAGGGCACAGGGCCAGCAGGGGCCTTGCTTTCTTCTACTGAGCTTTGCCAGCTCATGGTCCAGGCTGAACACTGGCCTGAGATACCACACAAAGAGCTGGTGGGGCAGTACATTACACAGCTAAACTTCTTAAGCTGCAGGAAATAAGTTAAGGGGATCCTTATTTATTTTCCCTCATTAATTTACGTTAATTTACCACCAGCATCAACAATGAAGAGCCAGTATCTCCCTGCAGCATTAACAAACAGGTATCGTTCCAGGACTCTGTATGGTGTATACAGAATGAAAGGACCCAAGTTCCCTCTTAATTGTGCAGCTGATACTGTGAACTTTCTTCTAAGGGTTTTTTAAAACAGATTTTTCACTTTTGAGACAGGTTAGCCTAGGAGTCTGATTTTACTTGCAGTTATACAGGTGTAAATCTAGAGTAACTGATAATCTCAAACCAGCACCAAAGTCACGTTTTCTCCTTCACTGAAACTCTGAGATTGTGCAACAGAGGAAATGGCAAAGTTGGAGTAACTCTGGACTTTGAACAGAGCTACTGAAACTCGTGCCTGACTGACTGTGTGAACCCCTCTTACTCCTGCAAGATAGCAATCCAGTTAATCAATTAAGTAATGCAGTTAATCAATTAAGTACTTCAGTTAATCAATTACTACACAGAAGAATCCAAACTTTTCAACAGTATCCAGAAAAAGCAACACTSCAAAACTGGTGGTTTTTACAGCACAGGCTGAGCTCTTGATTTTAAACCAGTGAAGCTTCCTAATGGTCCAGAGTTTCAGAATGAAGCAAATCTTCACAGCAAAGTAAAAGCTGAGATTTGCAGTGCATCTGTTGACCAGTCTTTAACTGCAGCAGCTCCTTTTGTCATCTTGTGTCCTGTGTGCTACCCATTGTTCAACTTCACACATAAAGCTTTGGCACAATGAGTTTTCAGAATTTCTGCTATTCAGAGACTTTCTTTTATTCATAACCTGTCCAAAAAAGATGTCTTTCAGGGAAGAGACTCAAAGGAGATCACAGTTACATAATAGGTTAATTTGCAGCACTAACCACATGAAGACAAATTAAGCCTTCAGACACCCTTCTCTTTCAAGAGGGATCTCTCAGGCTTATCAACACAAGATTCTAAAATGGTGTCTGCAAACAGKAGGGCAATAGTAGGGATTCTGTGCAACTAATTCTGGACACCACAGATCCTKCTCAGGAGRAAGGTGTGCAGATCCAAGAACTGGGGGCTTTTCCCAATATTCTCTTTTTTCTGTTTTGTGCTAATACAGGGTGACTGCTGCACTTTATTTGACCCCAGTGGCGAAATAACCTGAAAACCTGACCCTGAAAACTTGCTCTTATCTATTATTGCAAAATGGACACCAAAGGTTWGGACCCAGCTCACCTAATTTTAGCCATCTGAATAGTTGGCATCTCATCCCAACAAGTCACCGCAGCTTCCTCTAYAAACAATGGCATGAGATTCCCACCAATTTCAGCACGGAGACAGGRAGAGCAAAGAAGGCATTGATGCTGCTGATGGGGGTGAACAGATGAATAGTTTATGAGAGATGCCAAGGTGTGAGAGAATCACACCATGACATGTCCAATGGTATGCAGGGGGTGTGTGGAAAGCTGCAGGCTTCACTCCACAGCAGAAAGGTTCAGCTAATTGCACACAACCCTAGACCTGCAGAGGAGCAGGAGGGACTGGTCCCTGGCTCCATCAAATGGGGGATTAGGGAAGGAAGGAATCTGAAAAACAGCAAAATAATGTAACAGATMATAATGTAGCTGCAAATTCTAATGTCCATCCTGTTTCAGTAAAACATTTTAGTATGAGACACCTTGAACATTCCAAACCCTCTGGAATCTTAAGGAGTCAGCCTTACCCCTGGCTTCTATCCACTCACCTTGCTTCAGCACAATTTGACTCCAGGGACACTTTTTCYCCCCAAAGCAAGAAGTATTATGAATTTGCTTCCCTGTAATAAGAAGTTCCTTTCAAATGCTTTTTMTTTTCCATAAATGCAAAGAAAAATTTTAATATTACTTGTGAACACCTAGAAAAAGTAACTTAGGGAAAATACACAGTCTTTCCTAAAGTACTGCTTGACACAGGTTCTACTCTGATGTTGATATTTTTCCTCTCTAGTATTTTTAAATACACACTATATTTCACAGATGAGGTGAGTTTTTCTTATTWTTCAGTCTTGCATAATGAAACACTTTGTACAGAAGAGACTTTCTYGAGATCAGTGGGTCATTCGTGGTTTGGCTCTGAAGAAACAGCGCTAGCGACCTACACCTTAAAATAAAGTCACGTGGGAGATATTGAAAGAAGTTATCAGATATGAGCAGCTTGCTGGGGAAAACTCAAATCACCTATTTAAGCATGGCTGATCATACCAGTGGACACACAAGTAAGATGAACAGTCATGATTGTTTTGTTTCCTGATTTCACATGGAAATGAGGGTGCAGTTGTGCTGTCAGTCCCTCTCAGTAAGGCTGAATTTGTCAGTGGCCCATCACCACAGTTTACTGACCTGGCCACGAGCATCTGTGTCACCCCCAGCTCATGCACACCACACTGACCCTTGGAAGTACTTGGTTTCAGGTTGRGAAGGGCATGGAAATTTTCAAGAAATATTTTAAATCCACAGGGCATGAGGCTCCATCAGTTTTTCTGCTTGAARAACTACTCTTTTTGTTTTTCTGTTATTTACTGACTTCCAAAGGTTGATGAAAGACCTTCGTAAGCAGATAAAGATTCAATGCAAAGTGGATGATGCCCTTCAGTGTTTCTCAAAATCAAACACTTTCATGAGCTGATATKCCAGGGAAATGCCAATTATCATTTTGATCCTTTAAGGATTAAACTTTAGGAGGATTAACTAGGATAGCAAGATAAGAAAACAAATCCAAAGAAAGCACGCTTTACAGAAGATTTAAAGCCTTCCAAAAAYCTGCACTTGGTAAGTTCAATGTAGAGTCAAATCAGACATGGCAGAACCCCATGCAACCTGCCCATCTATGTGAGATCTCTATCTTAATCTTCATTTTACAGCCCCAAACCAGACTGTTACCACCTGCAGTATCTGAGCCAAGTAATTTCAAGCTGATTTATTACATTTCTAACTCTGAACATCCATCATTCTGCAGACAGCCTWAAGGGAGATGCCCTATACCTTAACTTTCACATTTTACAATGCTCTCCCTCTAAAGCTGCATGCCAATCATATATTTAAATCCTATGAAGTTTACTTGATGTTTTCTGTAACTTGAAGTCTACATTGTATTTTGTTGATACACTGGGTTCCCAGGTGAGGTGCAGTAACTTTAGTTTGGAAAAAGGTGCTACCACAGCACTGCACTTCTCATTTGCTGTTCCCTTGAATAGCCTCACCTAACTGGCTCTGTTTCTGACATYACAGAAATAAATGCTATTTTTTTCTAAAAACATTATGAATTCTACCAATACCAAGCACCAAGTGTTTGTATTTACCCCTGAGGTAAGCAAGCTGTAGTCAGAAGCTCTAACAAACCTCACAGATGCAACGGGGTGTCATGCTGCTCACAGCAGCTCATTTTAGCCTCTTCAGCACACAACTGGGTACCATGGACAACAGCAATTTATCTCCCTTCTCAAGGCTTTTCTAAAAACAATAGCTCAGTTTCTAGAATGCCTGGCAGTCACAGACCAGCTTGACTTGCAGTTAAGAGTGAATCTGAATACAAATTTTGAAAGCAGAATCCGTTACATGCTACAGAATTTCAGTTTTATTAGAATAAAAAGAGAAAGGTGAGAAATAACAATAAAACTGGAACTTGGGGTGCATTCTGACACAGAAGAATTATGAAAGGCAGCAAAGTTTTCCCCATAGTACAGTAATTCTTAAGGATGGACCAAAAGGATTATTTACCACCTCAATGAGCTGTAATCAATGAATGAGAATATTTTACTCCATCCAGACAGCAAATACACAACATAACCTTGACCACTTTGGAAACCCACTATCAATAAAATCCTGCTCAAAGAAATTAAGCTGTCCCAACTCTACCAGATCACTCAAGGTTCTATTTGGGCAGCTCAAACCCAACACATACTCCCAAGTACGATTTCAGTTGGATTACCTAATTCCCAAAAAGGATTTTGTCAGAGGAACTTAGGCAGAGTCTTTTTTCAGTCAAACCCRTCTCCAACAACTCTTGCAGCATAAAAATACAGGAGAGACGTAAGCAGTCGGTGTCGTAAAGCTCTTCTACGCGTCGTACTCAAATATTTTAAGATCCTCAAGTAGTTCTTTGGCGAGCGCCTGCAGCTCSGCATTGCGGCTCTGGGACAGGGCGACGATGCGCTGGAAGGGCAGGGTCTCGCGCACCTCGGCGCCCGACCTGGCCAGCACCTCCGGCTCCAGGAGCACCGACTGCAGGAGCCGCAGGGCGTGCAGGCAAACCTCCGTGTCCGGGTCTGAAAGCAGGGAACAAAAGAGTCCAGTGCTTGTTAGGAGGGAGTGTGAAAGGCTCCACCGGGCAGACAGGGAATAATAGAAGTGTCGTCATTCCCAGGTGTCGTTTGCTGCTGGCTGGCCTGCTCTAGGAGGTACCTGAAAACCACATTTTTGTCCTCCCTCAGCAGCTTCTGCCTGGCGGTATTTGCAAGGGAGAGATAACCAGGAACCTTTCTCTTGGTTTTCAGATGTTGCAAATGCTGTAAACCAGGGAATTTATCAACCTGAATTTATCCAGTCAGTGCCCAGGATMTACTGTTGGACGCAATCCAATTTAAGAGCAGAACAAACTATATCCCATGATTATTCAAACTTAAAAAGYAAACAGACTGAAAAATCAAATCTGCAGTAGATCATCAGGCTTTTCTTTAATTTCTTTTTACATGAGGCTTCAGATTTCTTCAAAGCTCAATAAAATATTAATCTTTATAAAACTTTCTAGCAACCACGTACCAGCTTTCCAAGGGTTTAATTCAGTCTGCAGAAAATTGAAATGGGTATTGAAGCACTGCTGCTCAGCAATGTGCCAGGGAAATGCAGCAAAGACCTTTGACTGACTTAAGCCAGGAAGACATATAATAACTCCACTGCTAAGAACACAGGATGCATTTTTAATTACTGAAACATTTAGGAGCATTACATTTTAATCATTCGCAACAGCCCATTTGCATTCAGTGGTTTATGGCTTTATCAAAAGCATGCGGTAGAAAAACTTCCCTTTTCTGCATATTCCAAATGAAAACATCTAATATATTTTTATAGCTGAAGCAGTTATTTGTCCCACGTGACATGCATTTTTAATGTGTTTTTCATTAGCATACCTAGTCTTCAGCAAGCTTTTGATAAAGGGCTGTGCAGAAAGGTTGAGAAAATTAATTCAGATCACTTCGTGCACAAAATCACCAGAGAGACTGAAATCTCACTGAAGGAGCATAAAACCAGAGCAGTGATGAACCMGAGTGCACTCAGTTTGGAGGAAGCATTTGATGGGCTGAAGCAAATTTTTTCCATTCCTGGCTTATTTAACACCTAACAGTGGTGCCCTGAAAAAKGACTGAGGAGAATTATTCATTAAAGCATAAGGGTTGAAAGCACCTGGGAGTCAGAGAACAGGATATGATGGGCAGTGAAGAAGACTCTGGATTTCAGCAGGAAACTCACTGCTGAGATGGGATTTTTAAGTAAYTCCCAACAGCACAAGGCTGAAGTACAATATTAAAGATTGTGACATCTGATCTATGCCCAAAAGTCAGGCACACTCTCTCTCTTCCTCCATTTTCCATCATAAATGGAAATAATCTCATGTTAACGTCTTAAGAAAGGTGTTCTACTTTCTCTTGGCAAACAAGCAGAGTGGGGTATAATCTGAGGACACAGGTACAATCCAAACCTAAAAAACAATGTGCATTTTCTTCTTTTCTGTGCAATGAGAATCCTAGCTGCTGGGTATGCTGGACTATTTTAAACATGTCAAACCAATAAAAGCCCCATGATTAGTGCTGCACACCCATGGCACAGCCACTCCTATTGCTGATACCCAGGCTGAAGGCTCTAAGGAGTCTCTTTCCATCACCACCTCCAGCAGCACCTGCAGGTGCAACTTTCTGAGTCATGAGTAGCTGTAATTCATGGGGAAATGCTGCAGCTCAGCCTCACACACAGCAAGACTTTATGTCCAATTTCCTGGGCAGCAACACTTCAGTAAACCCTTTTGAGAAAACCTGGGTGCAAGTTTTGGTTTTCAGATTTAATCTGACCTAATCAAAATATGACAAAAAGCCTTGAATTTGTCCTCCCTTTCCTTCCATTTTTGCCTCCATGCCTGCCACATGTTGTGTTTTTTAATGCCTATCTTTTTGCCAGATATAATGTTCAATCTGTGCACTCATCACCTCCCCTTTTTCTGTACTTTGTATTATTCTACATTTATTCACTGGAAATAGCAGCCACAAACTACAGCCTAAATAGGTAAGAAGGAAGAAGCTTTGGGGAGTGAAATCTATGCAGCTCATTTACAATCTTCCTCTGCGTGACATTATTCCTCCATGAAATAAAGCCACTAATAYTTTTAATGGCTTGCAGTACTGCTGGGAAGCTTCATATACGTAGGATGAAAAGAGCTTTGTTATTAATACTGTTACAAGAATCAATATTAGCATTATTTGCAAGTGTTTAAAGGCTGTAAAATTAGAGAATCGATCAGGGAAGAAGCCTTAGCAGGGGAGCCAAGAAAATTAGGATCTGTAGGAGATCAGGAAATTATTTCCAGCTTGACAAGCAAGAACGTTTTCCAGTAAAGCAGAGAGGTTCTAGGAAGAATCTCCAGCAGCAGCCAGGGAAGCTCAACAGCTTGAGTCACTCAAATGAAGAACAGATTAGGCACGTGGGCATCCAGCAAAGGAAGGAAATGATCCTGCACCAGAAGATGACTTAATACACATTTAACCTCAGATTGCCATTGTTTTGAATGTATTCTGAGATGTTCTGAGTTAAATAAATACATATGCCTTAAAATACACTCCCTTAGGATTACATGTGGTTTTGAGAATACTACTTATTGAGGATAATCATGTTTCCTAAGAGGATTAAAAAAAAATACCAGAGAAATCTTGTCTCCAATATCATTAGGGACGTTTTCTAAAAACCCAGTCTACAAAGCACTCAAAGAAATGTAAGGAATCTTCATTATTCAGCATTATATTTATGTCAACAGCTTCCAGATTTAGTCATTTCTACACTAGCTGAGTAACATATTGTTTTTACAAGACTGAAAAAAATCCTTTAGCTGTRATCAAATCACTGCATCACATCCTCCCAACAACCAGCACACACATCTCCAACTACAATTTCAAAACTATCACCATTATTTCTGGCAAAGAGGCAGAGAAATCAAGCTGCTTGCCTCAGCCAGCATCACAGGCGAAGCACAAACCTACCACCATCGTAAGGTGCTGATGTAATTTTACCAAGGTGTTGAAACTGCTGGAGTTTGCTGACGTCCTGCGAGCTGCCAGCTCAGTTTGATGTCACTGGCTTCCAGTCACTGACAAAAGGTGACTGATAACGTGGATGGATTTTAGTCACATCTGTCATTAGCACCGGGCTCTCAGAKGAACTGTCCCCCACAGCATGTTTAAGTGATTGCATTACATCAGTGCTGAACAGCTTATCCACAACTGGCTCCAAGCTGTGGTACTGGTATTCAATTTACACGTGGCCACAGAATTCCCTGGCCACCTGAATCCAAGATTTATTGCCAGCACGCTGTTTATAGCTGTGCTGATGTACAAGAGCACAGAAGTTCACAAGGCCRAGTGCAAGGTCCTGCACATGGGTCGGGGCAATTCCAAGCATAGATACAGAATGGATGGGGGAATGAAGGCATTGAGAGCAGCCCTGAGGAGTGGGACTCGGGGGTGTCAGTGGATGGGAGGCTGGGTATGAGCTGGCCATCCTCACAGCCCAGAATGCCAAACATGTCCTGGGCTGCACCCAAAGCCCCATGGGCAGCAGGGAAGGGGGGATTCTACCCCTCTGCCCCCCTCTGGTGAGGCCCCAACTGTAGAGATGCATCCACCTCTGAAATTCACAATATAAGGAGGACATGGATCTCTTAGAGCAAGTCCAGAAAGGGGACACCAAGATGATCACAGGRCTGGGGGCACCTCTGCTATGGAGACAGAGCTGGGGCTATTCAGCCTGGAGAAGAGAAGGCTTCAGAGAGACCTTAGAGCCTCTCCCAGTGCCTAAAGAGAGCTGGAGAGGGACTTTGTACAAGGGAATGTAGTGACAGGGCAAGGGGCAATGGCTTTAAGCTGAAAGAGGGGAGGGTTAGATTAAATATTAAGAAGAAATTCCTTACTCTCACTATGTGTGTGATAAGACACTGGCATGGGTTGCCCACAGAAGCTGTGAATGCGCCATCCCTGCAAGTGTTCAAGTTCAGGATGGATGGAGTTCTGAGCAACCTGGGATAGTGGAAGGGTGTCCTTGCCCACAAGCAGGGAGGTTGGAACAAGAAGCTCTTTAAGATCCCTTCCAATTCAAACCGTTCTATGACTTTACAATTTCAAAAGCTTCCCACCACTGTTGTAGATACCATTCATTCAATTCCTGTCTCATTCCAGCAGGAAGGAGGCATCTGCCACTCAGCCTTTCTTTTTAATGAGCCTGTCAGAATATCTGTGTTCACAGCACACCCAACAGAGACAGCCATGGCCACAGCTTCCCTCCTGTAAGATCCTTTTGTATTGCCAATACTGGCAGCAGAATTTTCCAGGCATTTCTGTACTGTTGATAGGTCTGAAGAGACAAGAAATGTTTCAGTAAAGACACTCTGAGGGGTAGGAGCAAGAAGAACACCAGGGCAAAAAAAAGATGGAGCTTTGCTGCTTCAGTTCTTACAGACATAAATGCACTTTCTCTCTGCAAAATTTTTGCTCCAGTTCCTGTGTTACAACTGGGTTTCCTTCAGTCTCCTGCCTCGCCGGGTGGCTGCTCTCACATGGAGTTCAGCAAAYAAGAATTCCCCAATCTCCTAAGACTTGTCCTACTTTTACCAAAGAAATCCTTRAGAGATGCTCACAGGATCCAGACTGAAGCAGCAGTTCAGTCCCAATTTGCCTTCCAGGGGCTGCAAGTGAACAGGAGTTTGAACAGAGGCCAYTCTGTAGCTGGTGGGTACCACTGTGCTCCTCACAGAACATCAGATTGCATGAGCTGCTAGGTGGGGCAAGGACCTCGTCARGAAGCTCCTGCTCAGATGGCCAGGACAGCCCAGAGCTCCATCTGGGCAAGCAGCTGAGTATGGAAAAGGGCAAGCATTCTGTGGGACTTGCCCTGGCCACTCTTCCAGCCTCCCAGACAACTGAGGCCCAGGGACTCTGCATCAGAGCTGACATCCCTGAATTTACAAAAATGGATGTGGTCTTAAAGGGCAATTCTGTTCTTAAGATTAATTTCATTGTCTGAAGGGCMGCATGAAGATGAGTCAGGGGAGGTTTAGGTTGGATATCAGGAAGTTTTTCATCCAGAGAGTGGACAGGCACTAGAAYAAGCTCCACAGGGAAGTTGTCACAGCCTCAAGCCTGCCCAGAGTTTAAGGAGCATTTGGACAATGCTCTCAGGCACATGGTGGGATTACTGAGGTGTTTTGTGGGGTCAGGAGTTGGACTCGATGATTCTGATGGGTCTCTTCCAACTCGGCATATTCTATGGTTCTGAGTATGAAATAGTTGAATACTTGAAAGACTGAAAACTGAGGCTTTGATTTATGAACCAAAATTTGTTTTAATGCAGACATTAGTTTATAAATATGACAGTTCTGTTTGTCCAGATGTCTTTTAAATACGATGCTGCCATGCAAATTAACCTGAATTTTCAAATACTCTCACAGATATAATGAATTCAGACAGAAGAGCAAGGCATTAGAAACCTTCAGAGTTAGCCATGAAAAGCAAATATTCAGGGTGCAGGGAGCAAASTGAGAGTGTGCTTCATACAAGCATTTCTAATRGAGACCATCATTTGCAAAGAATTTGGGTAAACAAGGTTAGATTTCCACATGGAACTATGGTGGAGGAAACTGAAGGGCAGGACCTAAAATTAGTCCTACTTCTCTTTCTGTGTTTAGTTTAATGAAGTAGTACCTGGAGCAATTTCCCAGCTACGGACAAGAAATGTCACTGACATAGTGTCTCTGAATTCCATGCTTTCTCAAGTATCCAAAGAGAGCAATTTTTAAACTGCATTCAAAAAAAAAAAAAAGCAAAGTGGGGAAAACCAAAATAAAGATACACAGTAATTAAAAAACAAAACAAAACAACCAACTAAAAAAACCCAAAGAAAGTAGAGAAGAGCCTAGGCTCCTTTCCTCCAGGATTCATTTGTTGGCAGATGTTCTACATGAYCAAAAATGAAAAACATTAAATTTAGTCTTTATCATTAACACTTGAGCTGACTGCTGCTTCTTATGCTTCAAAAGATCATTGGCAGAGAAATGTTCCARTCTACTTCTTTGGGAGTTACACAATGGAAGTTTTATTGCATCTTTAGATGGAATACACACACAAAAAAACTGACAAATCTCAGGTGGATTTCTGCCCAAAATGATACAGGCTTCTTTTTCCATGGCTGAGGACAGGGCTTCTTTAAATCTGAAAGTTATGTGAAACCCTCAGCCAGGACACCAACACAGGGACAGCAGCTGATGGAGGAAGCTAAAGCCTATTTTGTCCAAGATGGGAACAGCTGCTCTGCTAACAAATGGTGCTCCACAAGAGGAGAAYTCTATTGATCCCACAAGCTGCTCCATGCACAGAAATCTGAGTCATCATTCATGTGCTTTATGCTGGCACCAGGCTGGGAAGGTGTGGGCAGCCACAGCTGATACCTACACAGAAGATTCAATGACCAGTGTCGCTTATTAAAGGGTGTCCATCTTTTAGATGGTTTTAAAAAGGCAGAAAAAAAATAAGAGAAAAAGATAGCCCACCTCATTAAGTGCTAAAACTACAGAGAACTGCATTACCTTCAAAAGTGGTGTGAAACATTTGGTTTTCTATCATCAGCGCAGCCTCCAGCAGAAAGGGCTATTAAGAATTCTTGTTAGTGAAGGTGAAGTCACACCAGCTCAACCCCTTTTCCCAAAGAGAGTAGGACAGTTTGTTGTTAACATTCTTACTTCACTAGGAACCTTTATTAGATTTTTTTCTCTTCTTTCTCTTCCAATCCATGTATTCAAAATCAAGGCMTATTTCTGTCTCTTCAAAAACATTGTGAAACAACTTGAATCAAATCCCTCTTTACTTCAGATACAACAAATGGAAATAAAGAAAATCGAGTCAATTACTTGTCACTTAATGGGAAGCACATTCTTCTTCAGGGGATAAGGATGGGCAGAGACTGAGAACTCAGAGAAGGAATTTGAGAGATTTATCAGCTGCATACAAGGCAGTGGGAGAAAGATGGGCTGATGTATACAGGCTGAGGTCATGGATGCTTGTAGATTGGCACTGGAAAAGCAAACAGGATGATTGTCTGAAAATGAAAAAAAAAATCAGAGGATGATTTCTGGGGCCTCTCTTGGTAGGAATGGTGATAAAAGCATACAAAACTGGAAAGCTGAGTCATGTCATAAGCCTTAATCAAAACAGGCTTTGAAGAAGCTTCCTGCAGGCAGGCAGCATGATAAGGATACTCTGCCAGCACAGTGTAGGGCTCTACTCTCCTGCATGGAAAAACAGGACCTTAACCTGTAGCAGCTCCAGGTGTTTATGAGCTGAATCTTGGCTGGCAGAACCTGAAGATGCTGGTCAGGGAAATAGGAGAGGAGCAAGAGTGGGAGGAAGCTGCTGAATTTTCCAAGAGGAGACATTTAGAAACAGATCAAATGGTGAGAAAACTACAAAGATCTCACACAAAATGATGGGAACAAGATCAGCTCTTGGATCTGACCTCTCATCTGATACCCAAACCAGTCAGCTCTCTCTCTTGACAGTGAGCAGATTTTCTCTAAAGCCAGGATTTAGAATCTACAAAAGTGCTTTATTTGAGAATCTTCCTCCCTAGCTGTAACTGGAGAAGTTTATTATCCACAAGTCAAGGAATTAGCCATGATCACCGTTTCTACAATCCAGCCATAAACAATTACCACTTTCAAATTACAGAGTAGCCTTTCCATTTCTTAGTTCCATTAATAGCTGCAAATTAATTATAAATGTTTCCCATTTTATCCTCTTACTTGACCTAGGAGCCTTTTTCAGACAACAGACTGCATCAAACTGTTATCTTTTTTTGTTTTGTCACAACAATTAGAAGACCACATTTGGGAACATAAGAGTTGGACAGGATTTTTTGAGGGTGTTTTGGGTTGGTATTTTTTGCCAGAACAGCTTATTAGCCAACATAATATAAAAGGAAAACTTAGACTAAGACCTGTTAAATTTCAAAGCACAGCTGAACAAAGGAACATGTATTTGATGTTCTCTGAGGATCCCATTTTTCTCAAAATATATTAAAAACCCCTAAAGAAACGGTGTTTTCCCTTACAAGGATTACTTAATTTCCTGAGATATCGGAAGTGAGAGCCTGTAGCATTCCAACAGCAGGAAATTATTTGATGAAAAGCATGAACAGCTACATTTTCTGTAAAATAGTTAAGGAAACAAGGAACTATACAAACAGCTTTCATTTTATCAAGTCTAACCAAAGCTTTTCCAGAAATTCAGTATCAAAATAATTTCTTGAAAAAGGCAGATGCATCCTCTCTCCCTTCAGCTGTCAGTATTTAGCAGTCATACTTTAGCAGGGTTTTGGCAGCACAGAGGGATAAATTAACCTCCCCAGTTCTATCTGCACACCAAAATCTCCTCATAAATCTTGAGAAAGCCCAGGCAGAGCAGCTCCGGCAGTTCCCAGGCAGGCAGGGCAGTGTCACAGCTCTGTCCCCCCTGCTGTCCCTCCCGGGCTGTGCACAGCTGCCAGCCCCAGCCAACGCACACTGCCAACGTCAATCCCTGCTGGCTCCTGCTCAGCGATTTGAAGACTCCGAAAGAGCAGAGCCTTGATGTCACTCATGTACCTGACAGTGACAACACAAGTTCCTGACGTCCYTGGAGTCCTGCACTGGCCAAAGGCACAGCTGGGAATAGTCCCCCAGCCCTGGAACCCAAATCCTATTAAAGCAGAATCCTCTCTTTAGAAAGGGGCCTGTTTGCAATGGGTCAGTGTAGTTACAGACTTGGCTTCTTCCCCCAAATGTGTACATTTTTCTTTGTTAAATGGTAGTGAACTGATATGTAGGTTACCCTTAAGGTTTATTTTAAAGTTGGTATGTGAAGGCACAGGTGGCTTTTTTTAAAACTACTCCATCAAATTTCTCCATTCCCTATTCTTAAATCTACCATCCCTAAATTTTATATTAATGGAATATTACATGCAGTGTCAAAAAATTTGTGAGAAATGCGCATCTTTTCCCTCCAGCTATTTGCCTTTTTTGTCTACTTTCATTGTGTCAAAAGCTAATCAGGTCACAGATGTAAATTTCTGGTTTGATATTGGCAGCACCTATTGCAAACCTACAAAATCCTGAAAGTCACAGTYTTCAAGGTTCTTAGAGCAACTTACCATTCAACAGCCACCAAAGCAAGGGAATAAAACCTGGACTTTCACTGATGTACTTCAAGCCTTTCAAGTTGATACTCACATTGTAAAGTGACATCAGCATTAGCCTGGAATTGAAAGAAAAAAAATGTGAAGGCCTTTGGTTTCTTTACATGCTTTAGCATCTTTTGCCATTTGTGTGAAGCATGTACTGATGAGGAAGCCTGTTCTAATAATTTATRTATTTGTTAAAGAGATAAATCTCAAGTTATATATAAGCAATGGTTGTGYAAACCATTGTTCCTGCTGTTAAATCACACACTCTAAACACGTGGAAAAGAGTAAGAAGGTCTCAGGGAGGGGCTGGAATGTTCTCTGTTCTGGAGCCAGCTTGGCTGCTGCTCTTTCTCATGGCTGTGATAAACCTGTGTGTGTCACTGCACTGCCACCATGTCCAAACAAAAGGGAAATKATTTTATTCCAGATGGACTTCACACCTCATATCTGACTCTCAAACAAGGTCTCARGGCTTAAGCTCCTATGCCATCAGCAGACTTTGGCACACTTTGTGGATACCTCCAGAATGCAGGACAGAAAAAGACCCATTGCAGGCTAAACTGAGTTGTGAGAGGCACAACTGATGGGCTCTGMGTTTGATCTCAGTTATTAAGCAGTAGAAAGAACTGAAGAGCAGATTTAWTAAATCTACTGCAGCAGTGGCCACTGCCAAACAGGCAGGGGTGCTCTGGATCTGAGATTTCAGCTGGTAAAGTCCTTACACTGCTTTTCATCCAGCCCCCGCAGCTCTGAGCCTCCAGAACAAGCCCTGACAAAGCAGCACAGCACTACCTATAATCAGCCAGAATGGAAATGATCAATAAACCATCATCTTATAATGGCAATGTTAACATTTCTTGAGAATGTCTTTCACCCTTAATCTGTTTGACATTTGCAGTTAGAAATAAAGTGACGTAAAAAGGCACTGCTGTGTTTGTATTTTTATTTCACTTGTTTGCTTTGTGCAGACAAAAGGGGCTGGTGCTGGTGATCCAAGGAAGTGCTGAGGTTTTGGAGTGCTCGAACACCCCACAAGCCAATGCAGTGGCACACAAATGTGCAACAATATATTTAATTAAACACTCACCTAGGCACAACAGAGAAGCATTTCAAACCCTTTATAACCTGCATGTTTTAGTAAATATTTTTTGTAATAATAATTGCCAAAGTGCTTATTGAAGCAAACCTGACACAAATGATTACCGGATAAAGAATCCTTTCTTGTGGTTTTTATTTTTAAATGTGGAGTGAGTCTTAATTATGCACTTCATAATCTTCCTACTTAGACAAGCCAAATTTAATTAGCATCTTGTACTACTGTATCTGTCAATGCTTTCTTTAAAATCTAGAACTAAATGCACAGCTAAAGCCCCTTCTTGTCTTGCTAATACATGGGATTAGTATATAAAATGTACTATTTTGTACTAATATGTCTCTTTACTGGCTACTTTTAATTGCCACAAAAACAAAGCTGAATATTCTTAACCATTTAATTATAGCTACAAACAATTATGTAAATGTTTATTGACTGTGTAACAATTACAAACGTTAAACAAACTCTACACCAATGAGAAAAAAACCCCTAAAGTCTTTCATGTCTGCTATTTCAGAAAGGCAAGGACCTTGAGATTTCACCTGAATCCCAGAGATTTCAGTGCCAGCACTCACATTGATGGCTGGAATATATTTATTCCAGACTCACAGACTACAGTGGATACCACAGCAKTTTTGGAATAAGTGACAGGTTCTCCCTGTAATTTTTTCATTTATCTACTCATCCAAATAAAACATAGGACTGCTAAAATTAAAAAAGAGAACTCCTCTCTTTATCAGCTTACTTTGATACTGCTGTGTGTAGAGTTAGACTCACAGTTACCCCTGATTTGTCACACAGAAATGAAAAATATTTTTGAAAATAAAAACTGGAAAATAATTGTAAAGCCTCAAAACTAAGAAAAGGACAACCATAGCATCTAAAATTACATTTTTCTTCAACTGATTGGATTATCAATTGATGTCCTCCCATGTATCATCATGGTGATGCTTTAAGAAAAATACATTGCCTTTCCAGAATAATTAACAGACATTTTYATCTGTGAGGTATAGTTTTAAAGATATGTCTGTCTGTATGTATACGTATATAAATRTATGTGTAAACATTACTCATTATGACTCCAGGGTCTATCTTCCACATCTTCACATAACTTTAAAATTTCACTTGAATTTATGGAAACCTTCATACCCTTGTCTCACAATTGTCATTCATTTTGTCCTGGCTTATGTTCCCTATGGGAGGGAGAAAAGGGAGTTCTTCTGACACATCTGCTTATGAAAATGCTGATTAAGGTTAACCAGCAGCTAGAACGCCTTACATGCAAAGAACAATCTAAACAACAAATCAATAAACCACCCAAAACCCTTCTTCGCTGGGCTGGGAGACTTTAAAATTCTCCAAAAGAACCAGAAAAAAATCTAGTGTTCATAACAGGATTTTAGAATTGAACACTGACAAGACACATACAGAGCTCATTAAAAAAAAAGGATTTTTTTTTCTTTTTTTGATCATGGACCTGAAAGACAAACAGGGGAAAACATTTGAGCAAATTAAGTCTGCCTTGTTCTCTGACAAGGCCATGAAGAATTGTCCTTTTCAGCATTGGCTCTAAAGTCAGAATACTCCCTTTTTTTTTTTTTTATCCAACGTCAAGTGCAGAGTTAGGAAAGAAAAATGTTGATTTTGTGGGATATCAGAAAATATCAGCACTGTACTGAATTCAAGTTATTGTAACATATGCTTATTTCTCACCTATCAACCACCTCGAGCAACCTCTTTTTCAAACTTCCCTCCATTTTTTAGCCCAGAAATTAAACCCTGTTGAATTCCTTGCCACCTCATGGGATTGTTCTACGTACATTTTACCAGTAGAGCTGTGTGACAGCCAAGTTTACATCACCACGGGTAATTCTTCTGCAAAGCAGACAGATTTTGAAGTATAATTAAAAACAACGCAAGATATAAATTCAAAAGAAAGGCCCTCAAATTCAATTACATGAATGCAATATGAAATTACCAAAAGCATTTATCTGATCCCATAGACACATATACATTTGAAATTCAGAGAATGCATGTAGGAACATCTTTCCTCCTCTTATTTTTCTCATTTACAGATTCTGAAACAGTATGGATTCTCTTTTCAGGGTTGKTTTTTTTTGTTGTGATTGGCTGGCTGGTTTGGTTTTTTTAATACACGTGAAGGCACAAATTACCTTTTCTTTCTTAAACTGAGATTCTCATACAATTCTTTCAGTTGGGATGTAATCAAAAACCTCTACTGTGAACCTTCAAGCCCACACTTGGGAAACAGAGGAAATAACTGATCTCAGATCCTGCCACTCTCTACAGCACAGGTTGTTCAGCTTTCCCCTCACCACCCAACAGGGAAAGGCAAACACCTTTACAGGCAACTTGCTCCCCTTCACATGAACAATCACCTGCCAGCACCATCTCCTCCCAGTGACTGTGGGAAGAAGCCCAGCCAGTCAGCAAATGTTTGACATCCCCCACTCTGACAGCTGAGGTTAGGCAAGGTAAAACCTCTCCAAAGTGAAGACCGAGACTGATTTCATGACTGTCACATCCAACCTGCCTAAATGTGTGCCTGGATGTGGTCACGTTCCCGTGGCTGACAGGGCTGCTGTTTGTCAGCTGAGCTGTGACAGCTGCCTGGAGTATGAAATGTTTGTGTGTGTATTAATGAAAAAACACCACACTGGCTCAAACCATCTTCATGAACCAATGAACCAGGGGTACAGGACCAGTGCTCCCATTTCAGCAGATGAGCCATTCATTAAGGCACAGTAATTTGTTCAGTCAAAGCCATTTATCCTCAGCTTGTAAGGTCTTGGAGAAAAAGGCAAAGACAATTGTTTATTTAATTTCTCCATCAGCTGAAAAGCACTTTTGCAGTATCTGAAGTRTGCAACAGGGCCTTGTCTTTAATGCTGTATCATGAGATCCCTTTATAGGCACTGCCTCTTACAAACTAAAGTTTGTAGTGAATCTAGGTCCTAAGCAGCCTAAAATAATTTAATTTTTGCTCTTAGCAGATCCAGAACTTCCTTCACTAGGCTGATGTGAAATTTTACACTTCATATTAGGAAGGAATAAATATCAGTCTTCATTTCCCACATCCTCTCTGTTTTAAAACTTGACCTCACAACTTCTTTATTCCACACTCAACTCACGACCCCCTCCCAAGATAGGAGAGGGCATCCCTGCTCACCTTTACAATATTATGGTGCTTAAGAGACTTCCACAGAGACATAAAACCTGGATAAAGCCTTGCAGCCAACCCTAGTATATCTGCAAGGAATGCTGCTGGGAAAAGGGCTTCCAAAAATTATGYTTCCTGTCCAGGAAAAGAATAATGGGACAGGGGGAAGACTACCATCATCACTGTGAGCTATATGGCAAAATAAGGCATTTCATTTGATAGGGAAAAAAGAAGTCAACATACACTTTAAATTTGTTACAGAGTCCTGGCTTCATGTCTCCCAGGAGGTGTATCATCGTGTCCAGCAACTCCCGACTGGAACTGACCAGGAACTCACGGCCACAGGCCATTGCAGCCACATCTGTGGGAGAGCATGAAACATCACTATAAAAATCATGTTTCAAACAAAAGCTTTTGCTAATTATCAGGACCACTAAAAAGATGTYAGCTGTGAAGAAAGAACTATGGCATTTATAAAAAGTTCATACTACATTCAACTATATAGTAAATACTGAACAACAAACTCTGGTCAGGCTCCTTCATAATTCTACTTTGGTAACCAAAGCCATTTATCCAGAATGCCCAGTGTTCCAATAGCAACACAATAAATTGTGAAACAAAAGGCTGTACTCATCCACAGGTAATGTGTGACTGAAATAAAGCTTATCATTCTAGGTTCCACTTCAAAGAAACAAGGTTGCAAAGTTTTACAAGTCAATATACCTGGCACACTACACAACCATAACTCTTGTGAACATCTGYTTAAAAGCTTTTTCCTACCTCTCTGCAAGTGCAGCGTTATTCAAGCACAAACCAAAAGACAATATTATTTCCAAAGACTACTACTTCAAAGCAGACTTTTCTTTATTATTTCCCTTACACCTGTCCCCTACTCAGTACAGTGGCATAATACATCACATACTGATTTTATTAGAGTCTTTAATGACACCCCAACAGCTAAAAATCCCACATTTAGAAAAGCTGTTCATTCAAGATTCACTYATACATATATCCACTGCTCCATCTATCTTGCATCATGTCTCTAGTGTAATTTTGACAATTACACCATTTCACAAAAATGCAATGATGTATCAACCCTGTGTCTCACAGCCTCCCAAACCAYGGGCAGTCACTCTACAACAGATACACAGCTTTTTACTTATTTTCTGGCCCTAAAAAAATACTTAGTATGGAAGTCAGGTTTATTACCTGCTCTTATACAGTGGAAGTGTGATGCATATGACAGCAACCAAATTTTTAAGCAGTTTCAAAATCCTTGAAGTCCATGCCTTAAGATGGGGCTGTTCCTACTTGCACCATCTGCAGTTTGCAATCTTGAAGATGTTGRCACAACTGATGATTCACAAAATAAATTGAAGTGTACAAACTAATGTGAGCATACAAGACTGGTACAATGGTCCTTGTGTCATTCCAAACTGAAAGATGCAATAGGGTATTTCAGAACTCAATGGCTCTTACCCATCTAATCCTAAATGATGTCAAAGGCAGCACAGAAGCGTCTGTAACAGAAGTGTCAGTACCAAAATTTGCGARAACTTTAGAAGGCCAGAAATTCACTCAAGATATTAACACTGACTACTTAACTTTAAAAAGCTGTGTTTACTGCAGCTTCTATGAAGCAATATACATTCCCAGTACGTGTGGAATGCTGTTCTGAGACACAACATTAACTTACTTGTTACAATCCCTGCCAAAGCTAATACAAACTGATTTTCCTCAGAATCCAAATCCTGCTGTTTCATGTCTTCACTTAATGACTTCACAAAGCTCTCCATGGTCTGGGCAGTGATTGTGAAAAACTTTACTGCTTTACTCTGCAAGTGGGGAGGAGAAGAAAGATTACACACACTAAAGCAACTATAATTATTAGATGCTACAGGAAAACTGGACAATCTTCCACATTATTAAAATATCCAGTTACTTCAAAATATAACAGAAAATACCACTAAGTGACAAGTTTGATCCCCTAACATTTGAAACCTTTACCTCCAAAAAAACCAGGAAACTACTCGGTGCTACATGAATTCATAAAACTGAACCACTGCATATTTACCTTCTAAACATAAAATAATACATATCAACTAGCAGATTTAAAGCTTATTTTCAAAAGTGAGAATAATATCTCTTTGCTTTGCATTGGCTGCACCAGGTGTTTCACATTTATCTGGGCTACTACAGTAGCTTTTGATAAAAACCAGCTGAAAACTAGAGACTTAACATGAAATTCCTAAGAAAAGTGAAGTAGTACCCAGAAGAAAAAAGYGTAATTTAAATGGATCCTAATAGGATTCATTAATTGCTCAGTACAGGGTGGAGAATAACAGGCTGTGCAGAAGTTCTTTAGAAAAGTAAGTGGAGGTCTCTCCTGGGTCACAGGTTGAATTTAAGTCAGCCTCATCCCGTGAAATTGTCACAGCAGAGGACAGCACAGGAGCACAGGCTTTAATAACGGTGCAGTCTCCACCTCAGCTGCAATACTGCTCTGTTTGGAGGTATCTCAGCTCAGGGAGAACCATCTGGTACAAAGCTCAGGGCAGGTCAAAGAGCCTGGCCAGAGCTGCAGAGTCCACAAAAGAGGATGGAGAGACGCGTTTCTATTTATCAGTAATTCTGACTAGTAAAACCTTGCTGGAACTCTATTTCACACAGAGGATGAAGGCTTTCATAACCAAAACAGTGTGGCAGGGAGCCCATAATGTGGGGTTTCCTGGTGTCTTCAATAATTTTTGCAGTTGTTTCATGAAGTAGTGAAACTTTTAGTCATTCCCAGTAGTGACCCAATGGGAAAGTTCAAGAAATGCCTAAACTTTTATTCATTTTGCAAAGTGACTGAAAATTTTAATCGTTTTGCACAGTATGTGCAAAGCTATTGGAAACATTTATTTATTCCTCCACTGCTGCACATTCACCACATAAAAGATGTACCATTCCTGTGGTGAGACTCCAGTAAAAGAGGACAAAAAGCAGGCTCAGTTAACACAGCATCTCCACAAATGAAGCTGTGGTCCCAGGATAACAGAATGAAGAGATCACRAGGAAAGGGGATGAAAACAAGTGCTGGATGTAGGTTTTATATTTACATGGACACCACACTTCAAATATAGCAATTTTAACACAAGCAGAGACTATACCTCAAGAAGCAGGAAGTGTGAGAGAAAATGAAGAGCCCTACATGTTATTAATACAAATTCACATGGGACCATGAGGGTACTAAGTACCCTGAGTAGATGGTATGTTGCACAGAAAACAAGATAAACTTTCCATCTGCCAATCTCTTGAGGTTTCAYGGTATCCTCTCTGCTGACCCTCCCAGACAGCCACTGCTTAACTAGTGCTGAAGTCTGAGGAGCTGCAGCAGAGACCCATCAGGTTTATAAAYAACAAACATTACACACTCTGCACAGACCCTTATTAACTTGACGGCATTTTGATGGGACTGAAGAATGTCTCACCCACACATGTTGAGATAAGGACAGWTCTGAGAGCAGCCATTAAGGGTTGAGCTCAGATAGTGCAATGAACCCTTTACTGTCTGTGGAACTCCTGTGTGAAAGCACCAGGWAACAGCAAAAATTGCTGCCACAAAATGTAAAGCCGTTTGTCACCGTATCAGATAACTGAAGTAACAAAACACCTTGTAGGATCCAAAATTTCTCCAGTTGAAGAAAGCTGTGATGCTGTTCTGAAAACAAACCTGCAGGCTGTACTTCCATGTGAGAAGCATGTCATATCCGGTTGAAACTTTTTGAAAGACAAACTCATGGGAATTAATTTACTTCTTTTTTGGCACATGCAAGTAGGAAATGTTGAAAACTCTCACGGTGCTTCTCTGGATGTTGTTGCCAATTCGCTCTCGGAAGACATAGGCAAAACCAGCAGGCATCTCTCCCCCACTGCCTTGAGAACTACTTGTGTCACATTTCAAATCTACTGCTTAAGGTTTGACTTTCTCAACCTGTATGACACAAAAGGTATATTGGCCACTAACATATTCCAGTCCTTGTGCATTACAGGACTGTAAGAAAGATCTACTTCTGTATTGGTGCAAAGACTGCAAAAAGCTCCGGCATTGTTCCCTAAGGTATGACATGATTCTGAATTTATGCCACCTTTCCCATGTGCTTAAATATCAGCACAGTTTCAAAGCACTCTTGATGTTTTCCTACATTTCTGTAGTTCACAACACCTACTCGGGGAGAAGAAGCTACGAGCTGTACCACKTGTCCCAAAATAACCCAAACCAAAAATGTTGCATGACAAATCTCCATCATCTTTTAATGACMTGACTCACTGCCAGTTGTAATCTGTGGTTGACACAATGCCACACAATCCATTTCTTTTTTTCCTAGGAGTCCTGTTGCAAACACAGACATGTTTCTTACAGTGTAATAGGAAAGTGATGCTCCCAAATGTTGCCATGATCTTCACCAGTACAGCAGTTCAACAGGCTTTAATGATTGCTGGAAATGACTGTAGGAGAAGTATTTTGCATTTCAAACCAACCTAAACCCCAAAGTACCACACCTTCACAGCTGGGCTTTTTACCTTTATATGAATCTTCAGGCAACTGTTTCGTTTTTAACTCATTCAATTAAATATCAATACTTCAGACTGCTTTCAACAGCCAGCCTTGTTCCTTAAATTTTAACTACTTTATACAGCATCGTACAAATTCTTTTCTTTAGTAACTGCTGCTGCTTGGATTTGGAATCATCAGAAGTTATCAGCAAAAGGTATCACCATACAGCTTTCTAATATCCAATATAAAGTTGTAATTGCATTTTAGAGCACCCAACTAGAACAACTCTTACAAACACATTGGTTTGCCATTACTATCATGAACTAATCCTATTCATTCAAMTTTCATCATGCTGCTAAAAAATCAAGCCAAAAGAAACTGTGGCATCAGTTCACTCAGATTAAATACAACAATTCCTTCTCATGTTGGCTGTGTCAAGAATAAAAATCATATTTTTATCAGCCTTGTTCCTCTGATCCCTCCTAATTCTATCAGCTGCATCTGGCAGTGAAACTGCGATAGTTGCAATATTACTACTGTCATTTTTGTTTTGTGGCTTGTTTTTGTTTTTGTTTTCAAATAGTCTACTTGCCCATGTTTAACACTGATGATTTAATAAGATCTACTAGCAGTGATGGTCTCTATATTTCCAAGAGTCATTCATGTATTAAAGCAGCAGAAAGATTTAAAGAAGTCGAGAATTGAGGGATCTGTCTTTTTTCCACGGAAATAGCACCTCCAAGCTCTCTACAGGCATGGGAACTCCTGCATGTACCCAGAACTATTTTCTTCTTCTGTTAGCTTGTGAAGATATTTACATCACRCTAACTGTAGACTTGCTTCCAGTYTAGCTGTGTGTGGTGGAAAACAGATAACCCTCATTTGGTAACAAAAGAATTAATTACTGCATGCACTCATAACATTTCATAGCTCTAACCCTTCTTAAATGAGAATGGATGGTTYCCAAAGAATATGCAAACCAGAAAACATTTCTGCTGTCCAGACAGTTTMTGAAATACATTGTTAAAGAGTGTTYCACAGCAAGATCCTTATTTTGAAGGTTCTTGTTTTAAAGGCCTGAGAGCATTACCACAGGTCAGTATTCACCTGCCATACTTACTCCTCCTAGAATGGATTTGACAGCCTCCTCATTGCTGGACACCCCCCAGAGCAGGGTGCACACTGCTGCTCCCATCTCTGTGCAATACTCTGCCTGCTGCAGGAGCTGCTGCTTGGCCTCGTTCAGCTGCTGCCGCAGGTCCAGTTTCTCCTGGAACAGCGTAAGGAAATTTTGGTTGCACTTCATGTCTGCCACAAGTTTCTAGGCTAAGGGACAGAACAAGAAACACAGTCATGGCCATCTCTGAAGTGGAGGGTAATSCAGAGCAGTTGCAGACAAGCTCTTTCACTCCTGAGCTGTGTRTAAGCAGTGCAGGCTGACAGGAACCAGAAACTGTCCACAAGGTCAAACCAAGTGACCCAGCGAGACTGTGTGGCACCTAGAGAAGCCTGATAGGAATTCTCTCTCCCTGAGCAAACAGCTCCATGTTTCTTCAAGAGAGAGGGGATTTCAGCATCAGGGGCCAGCTTTCCCTGACACCTGACAAAAGATACTGGAAGCATCTTACAGGAAGAGAGGGTTGTTTTGTTTTTTGAAACAGACTTCTGCTCTAGCCAACACAGAATAGTTGCTGGATATCTACAATAAATAGYGCTGTCTTGTCCAACTCTTTTCTGTTGGCATAGTCCTGATGAGAAGTGGCAAAGTAAGACAGAGTCCCCAAAAAACACACCTAAKGTTTGAAGTTTGGAGGATCTTCCATTGCAAGAAAGACACCACTGTGCATCCAWGAGGTTGGATGGGGCTCTGAACAACCTGGTMTACTGAAAGTTATCCCTGCCCATGGCAGTGGGGTTGGAATGAAGTAATCAACCGCAAAATCCCTTCCAACCCAAACTATTCTGTGGCYGCAATCTATGAACACTAAAGTGAGCTGCTCAGTGGTTCTTGCCACAAAGCATAGAGAACAGATCAACCCTACAGAACCAATTTCCATTTGGCAGTTCTTTTTTCCAATCACATGGGAAGCTGGCTGGAACAATATAATGAGATTGGGTAGGATTCTAGGGCTCACTGGCTTCCTACCAGCTGCCACAGGAGTAGCAAAGCTGCTGCACTTCTCAGCTTAGAGCCAGCACAGACAGTGAGCTCAAGGCASGGATTCTGCCATCTGTCTCTCAGTGTGGGTGGGGGCTCCCAACTAACTGCAAGTAGGGTGGTATTAGACAGTGCTGCAGGGAAAGACCAAGACCAGTCAAGAAAAATTATGTTAATTCAAGTATTACAGAGAATCACAGATTGCACAATGGCAAAAAAACGGAAGGATCTTTCTATGCCCATTTTACAGACATGGGATTTTCAAATTCACTGCAGGAAACACCCTCCTCAGCTCAGCCTTCCCAGCGTGTTTGGTTATCAGGATGAAACATGGGGAAAAGAAAAGGAATCTTTTCTATGCAACTTTGAATGCAACTAAACAGAACAAGACTTTCAACCACGTATTGTTGTTAAGACTTTAGAATAAGTACCTTGTCATTTTTGGGGTTCACCTCAATGCTTCATGTTGAGGGTTTGGAAATAATAGAAATGTAAACTCATAYGAAAATTTATGAAACATGATACCAACCAGTACAGAGCTGTCTGTGCTCTGTCACCAATTCCTGCTGAGCCTCCTGATCACACCTACCAGCCTGATTTGCACTGCTACTAATGGAACACACAAGTGAGGATTTGTAAAGTTCAAATTAAGTTTGTCATGCAGACTTTCACGTGTGTTTACAGTATCTTTTACCTACATATGCAAAAGACTGACACTTTGTGCGGATTCCATAAGCAGAGATTCCCAGGAAAAGTCTCTTATTTTCTAACACTTTGATCATTTTTAAGCAAATTAGCCAAATTCCATCTTTTACATGAYTCACTGCCAGGCCTATCAGCTTTTCTGCCACCAAAATGTCCTCRGGCATCTTCCTGCCTAATCCTTATATTTTCCCTGTCTTTTCCACAGTCCTAGTCTTAGGAAAATGTATCTTTAATAYATTTTATTTGCATTTTGTATTTGGATGCTAATACTGAGTAAAACATAAACCCTAGTAATACCAAATCCAGATCCCCCAACAAAGATGCAAAGCCAGCAGAAGAAATGCCAGAATTTTTAATAGATCAAAAGCAACATCAGAACAAAGATACAAGGCAAGGAAAACAAAACAGTACATTCAAGAGCCAGGAAAATAAACGGAGCCTGCAAAAGCAAATAACCTGGCTGGAAGCAACACTCCTAAGAGTTCACATCAGCAAGCAATTCCTGTGCTATGCAACACCACCATCTTCAGGAAAAGGTCAAGGCACRAGAACACAGCAGTGCCCAAGTATGGAACTACAAAAAGACAGACAAAGAAGACATCAGCCAAGAATAACATGTGCACTTCAAGTTTTGCTCAGGTTCAGAAAGCACAGCAATTCCTTAATCAGTGATACAGCTCTGCACAGAGAATTTGGAATGCAAAATGTTGATTTATGATGACCTCAGAAAAGGGCACTGCTCAGCTAGAAATGGATTTATTTTATGTTTGTTTCAGTGAATAATTTTCTTCTCCTTGAGAAGATAAATATGTAGAAAATAATTCAGAAACTCTAMACAAGCATGCCTAAAGCAGAACAGCGACTAAATGAAAAACACCAGAAGAGTGATTAACAGGAACAAAAATCACTAATATAMACAAACCAGCTCGTTGTATCCTGGAGAGCTACAGGACTTCACAACATCATGAGCACAATCCACTCAAATACACCTTCCTGGCTATTAACAGAGCCCAGTCATCAGACAACTGCCACACACAGAACAACAGCAAAGACATGAAGAGAAGAAACACCAAAACAACTTCCCCTAGTAAATTACCCATGCTTTAAGTACAACTCATCCAAAAGAAATTATAAACCCAAAGCACCTGCCCTTTTTTTGTAGTATTATTAGGAAYAACGAGTGGGACACACTTCATTAATGCCTAAAGCAACATTATTTTATCYGGGTATTTATACAACTGAAGACCTCAGTGCACAGCAAAACAAACCCTCTACTTATTGCTGAACTGAAACAACTATCCAGAAGATATTCATTTTGAAATAAGGAATATCCAGATTGACAACTATTCCATCATACCAAACTTCCTCCCAGAATGACTTTTCTGTGCAGATGTGCATGAAAATTGCATTTCTGAAGTCTTCATTATTCCTCTTCAAAAATGAAGTAAGTTTGTAGGTTCATCTGTCTTTGTGCAATCCCAAGGCTGGCAAATGCCAGCTGTACAACCCCAACAATGTGAACTTCTGCTGACTACTGAAGATGGCTCCAAGGAAATGATCTTTTGCAGMAAATAATCACCACTGATTCTCACAGAGACTCATTTGAACCCAAATGGCTTCACAGTCTGAGAAGGCACAGTCTTTAATATTCCTTCATTGTTAAGAATCTCCCTTCTCATAATCACTAAATACAATATTGACAGAGCAAAAGGAGGCCTGAAATTACTCTTTGATTCTCAGCTGTATGTGGCAATTGGATCAATAGGCACTTTGAGAAAGACTATTAACACTAAACAAAGGTACACAGCTCACAGCAAACCAAGACAGGCTGGTTTCATTCTGTACATTGCACTGCTTAAATTATCTCCTATTGTCCTCTTTCAAAATGTGTTGTAGCAATGTTAAATTCAAAAGAACTGATTCTGTGAATCTATAGCTGTGATTCCAGCTATAGCACAGCCTTCCCAAATACCTGATGTTTTACTTTAACATGTTAATATAAGCCAAATGCTTGATTTTTAAATTCACACACACCAAGACAAATCCTGCCACAAATGCCTAACACAACTCATASAAGTGCACTTCACAGAGTATGGAAGCTGAGAGAGATCCCTGCAGCTAKCAGGAGTCCTGTACTGCAGTGGGAGACAGTTGGTACCTCTGTTTGTACAMATGGACTTCTTCCCTGTACTGAATCTTACTGTATTTTACCTAGCTACAAGATTGGCCCTTTTGCTCTAGAAATATCAAGAAGAAAAAAAATKATGACCTTATAAGTTATATTTTTCTTACCACCTGACTATACATACAGACATCCCAGATGATTTTTCAGACTGAGGATTTATTTTGTGACATGAACATGAAAAACTGATCATTACTGCTTTTGTTATTAAAATTCAAGCATGCAGATGCCAATATTCTGGCAGCAAATCTACCTTCTTCTCTCTCATGCAATCTGACTGGGCTGTTTCCAGACGGGCTCTGAGGTGTTCACAATCCATTCTCAGCTGCTCTACTTCCTCCTCCTTTTTCTCCAGGTCTGTGACACGATAAATCAGACAAAAGGAAAAAGSAACACTATGACCAACGGGCCTGCACTAAAGCAGCAAATCCACCAAGTGCAACTTTACTGCAGCGCCTCAGCTGTTTGCTTGTACAAGATCACCTCCCCGTGGCTAAAGGGGAATCTCACAATTTGCTGTGAGGCAGCAGCTCTGAGAAAGCAAACCAACACGTTTCTGATTTAAAAGAATCACATCTAGTGGAAAAATACTGAGGGCTGAGAAGATTTTTAAAAATTTACTCMGTTTTCTACTTTATTTTCATGAYAGTTTTCATGAAAATTMCATGAGTGAAATTTCAATCAAGTCAACGACTAGATTAAAAGATAAGAAAAATATCAGTATCAGTCAAAAGTGTATGTTTCAATCTAAAATTTACAACTTACATGGATAGCGTGAATGAAAAACAGTGATTCTAAATATTTTAAATTAATATTTATAAAGCAGTATAAACAACCCAGTCTCATGAAAGGTGTCCCTGCCCATGGCAATGGTGTTAAAACTGAATCATCTTTAAGATCTCTTCCAACCAAACCAATTCTGTGACTTTGCAATTAACTATTTAAACATTGTGTCAGGTACAACCAAATTTTATTATTCCCTTAAAAAATTAATTTTTGATGGTATCATATCAACATTTCTGATGTTATCAGAATTTTTTTCAATTTAGACTCTTTATTTTAGTGAACAGAAATCAAGTTAAAAGTATTCTATTTCACCAGCATGATGCGTGTTTAAAAAAAAATTCCCTTTGATGGATAATTTTAATAATAGTTGAGTGTYGYATTTTACTTTAAAAACCACACTTCYGGATGCTTACTATTTATGCTGAAAAAAGTAAACATGTTTAAGTAGTTCCAAAAAGTAAAATCCAAATAGCATCTACTGTAATTCTGGTTACCTTAACCAAATTACACTCCACTTTTAGCATCACACCCTTGATTATGACAGTTTGGTCTATGGCTTGACACATTTCAAAGACTTCCCCTAACATGTGGTCAATATTCTTTAATGTAATTACCAAAAACCATATCAAATTCAATCGTAAAAGACAACACCATAAAAAAAATTATCCAATTATGATCTTTTTAACCAAAGAACTTGGTTTCTGGAATTCTATTTAATAATTCTATATGATTTGAAAATAAACTCCTTCCTGTTTTGGTCCTAATTGACAAGTTTGTAATCTTAAATATACACATATTACTTTGAGCAGCGGGTATTAAAGCATGTATAAAATCACTCAGCCCTTGAGTGATTCTAAGCCAGCAACCTTTTAACAGAAAGCAAAGAGGCAAGGCAAGGGTTCACTGATAGAAAACATTTCTGTGCCAGGACATACTCTCTGCACACTCACTTCTTTTCAACCTGCAATMCAAAGGAAAAGATTGCAGGGGGAAACGGATTCATTGATTTTTTTGAGAATAACTGTGGTCAGTGGCAAGAAAAATCCTGTCAAAYGAAGAAAATTCAGCCCCATGCACAYCTRAYTATGTGGGTGTGAGTCCWAAGCAGCTGACAGCAAGATGTCTTGGGCATGAGGAGAACATGCTCTGCTCATCTACAACAGACCAAGAATTGGTTTATCCAGGTCAGCTCATTCAATGAAAATCTGTCACGTCAAGCAAAAGAGCTCTCCTGAAAGAGAAGAATCACTCCCAGCCCTTGAGAGGATGGATCCAACCTGAATCCAGCCAGCTGACACACAAAGATGCCACATCCTTCACTGACAGACGTCAAAGATCCTGGAACCAAACCTGAGTCAGAACGGGAACTGACTACTGAGTATTAACACATTGCAAACTGTACTTTTTAAAGGGCTTCAAAAAATGATGTTTCAACATTCTCTAAGGTATCACAATATTTTATATAGAAGAAAGGACAATAGTGGAAGCTGTTGAAAAGAGACTTACTTCTAGCTGTGCCTTATTTGTGGAAACTCCCCCGCTATGCCCGGTCAGCCCTCGCAGCTGTGCCTATGCTCTGAAGAGAAAGATTTCACTACCAACTTGAGTGAGCAAAAAGAAATATGAAATAGCATGTTCATTCAAAGAGGTAATATGTAACTTCACCACTGCAGCGGTAAATCAGACTCTGGGAAGAAGTGGCACTTGYTCTTAAGATAGAGACTCAAAACCAYAACAAGGCACWGGGCACAAGGAAAGAARAGRAGGCYCCCATTTCAGGTGCACGATAAATTCATTCTCATCCACAGAAAGTTATAGGTCATATCAGGAGATTTTCTGGACCAGAGATCTAATCTCAAAGCTTTGTGAGGTGCATGCAATATGGATGAATRTCAACAAGTGATGGAATTCTAATTCTACTGCTCCAAATGCGAGATCAGTGTTAAATGCTATTTTTAACACTTGTTCAGTGGAGCGAGTTCCACTAAACTTATACATAACAATAAAGAAAAATTGCTGGAGCTCTATTTCTAAGACTCCTGGAGCCAAGCACTCTTCCTGAGAAAGGCAGTAAGAACAAAACAGAATTCTCTTTTTAAAATGAATAATTATCCTGGCAAGGATAATCAAGATCCAGACAGCAGCCTGAAAAGTAGGTGTTGGCTGCACTGAGCATTGCCAGGTCAGGTCTCAGACATCACCTCTGGGAAGCTGCCATAGGAAATGAATGTTCTGCTGATCTACACAGACTGGTGGAACATCCAAAGATCTCAAGACTTCTCAAAGCTATTCAAGACTCCATCAGTCTCAYAACCAAATGGGCCAGAGCTTTTGGAAGTTTCTGAGTACAATCTGCACTTCTTGAGGAGCAACTGCAACAGTTGATGGAAGTCTGAAGAGGTACAAATCACAGATTAGGCTGCTSTAAGAACAATGGGAAAAACATCACTAGGAGGTGCCAGGACTMCTGTAAGCTTCACATGCCACGCCAAAGAGTGCATGTAACAAACAGCATCATTCTGACAGTGAGAGATGCTTGTGTCCCTGTGATCACCTTCTGTGATCTCTGTGCTTCAAAGCCTTCTTTCAGTCTGCCTTATTTCATGTGCAGAGGTAGAAGACTGGAGCAGCAAAAATCACCAGCTGACTTGTCCAGCTGTGGGGCACATGACGGTCAGAACCTAAATAAGTATTCAAATGACYTCATCACCTGCAAGAGAAACCTCCACTGTGCAGACAGACTCCAGAGAATTCAAAGGCTGACTGAGCTTCAGGTACTCCCCCAGAGAGAGAATGCTGGGCACCCAGAAGAACATTTCAAGGAGTCTTAAAATCCCCATGTTGATGTCATGAGCCGGCTCTGGAGGGCCCTGACAGTGTCTCCTCAATGCCTGGCACAAGGAATCTAAGAATGATTGAAAGAAATCTTGAGACTGAAGATGGATACAAATAGGTAAAAACTAGTTGAGGATCTTGAACACTTAATGTAACTGGAAACAGTCCTTGATGACTTGCAACAGCACAAAGAAAACTTTTCCAGATCCTACCTACTGCTTGTAATATGGATAACATCCCAACCAGCAAGAGAGGTGGTGCAGTTTTCCCATCTCTGTAAGGATTTGATGCCATGGAAGAATCTTTCCAAGGAGTGGACCACTAAGGGAGCTGGATGCTCTGCCCCTCTGACACTTAGTCAGAGTCAGGCCTTGAGGTTCTACCTTACTCTTAGCTAACTGTTGCAAATTAATCACCTTATATTCTAGAAGARACAAACTCCCTGCAATCTTTCTCAGTGGTTGTTCCATGACTTTTCAGGCAAAACCAAATCCTTGGAWAACAGGTAAATTGTACAACTGCAGGTAAGCTACAAGCTAGGGATGGAGCTGACTCCTATTTGGCCCTGATGGCATGTTGGGAATGGGGTCATTTTTGAAAAAATAATGCACAGATAAACCCAACATTCTGGACTGGACTCTGGGAACAGGAGTAAAAATAACCTGGACTTAGGGGACAGGAGTAAAAAAACTTTTTATTACAGACTCTTCAGGGTTTATTAGTATAGCGTACAAATTAAAAAGCAAGACAGGCWAAATACAAGATTAACTCACACTTGCTTTAAATTTTTATCCACTGCTGTTTACTATAATTTTGTTGGGGTTTTTTTCTGCGCAAAGTGACCTTTTGAAAAACAAAATGGTTTTGCCTCTTCTTAAAGGGAAGACACTTTTTTCTGATACAGCTTCCCTTACTGCCTGAACTACATATGTTTTTAACCACAGTAAAATATTTTTAAAGATTCATTTGACATGTCTGATTATTTCTAAGGCAGCCTGTAATTTTCTTCACTACAAACACATTAATTTACTGAAGCAGTCACTGAAAAACACAGTTGAATCTGGACTGGCTTCACAAATTTTACATTTGTAGAGGCACAACAGTTTGTTCTAAGTAATTCTGGCAGAAACTGTAAGAGCTTGCAAGATGGTGCTACTCACTTGATTCAATAGCATCCAGCTTCTGGAATGTCCCCAGGATATCTCCATTTACTATTTTGGGCAAGAAATCCCGCAATTGCATAACTTCAGTTGTCAGCCTTTCCAAATCCCTCCTTCTGACTTTTACAAATTCCTCCTTGGTCTCAGCCTTCTGAAACAAAACAACAAAACAAAGCAAAACCAACCAAACCAATAACCAACCAAAGACACAGACTTGTACTGCTTTTCTGGCTGAATTTCTTTTCTTGGACAAAAACATTCCTCTGTATGACATAATTTCAGAAATTTGTAACTTTTTAAAAGAGAGCTATCCAGCAATCAGATTCAAGCCTTTGAGGTGGATCCTTGGAATGTAATTAATTTTCGCCACTCTGACGTAAAGTAAATCATATTACCTCTCTGCATTGGTTTCTTCACACCTGAGAATGCTGCAAAAACTAACACTCACATTTTCAAATCCAAGCAGCTCTGCATATGCCAAGCTGTTGTTTCATGACAGCTGTAAAGGATATGATTACTCAGCTTTTTAATTAATTAAAACATTTGTAACAACTTTTTTTGAGAAAACTGTACTTTTTTCAAACTAATTTATCTTTTGAGAAGAGCAAAAATTATTTTCAGCCATCTGCAACCCAATCCCACATAAGGAAGTTAATYCCAAGGTAAGACAGAAAATGTTTACTAGTTTCCTCTCCTGCCAAACTKCAGCTAAAAAAGAAATTTCATTCCATGTTCCAATAGAATGTGTGCTAATTTTAAAATTGCAGAGCATTTTTTAAACCAGAAAGCCATAAATTCCAATTTCTGATATACATACATATGTAAACTCTGGATCTCAAAAAGCTGCCACAAACACATTGACATAAAAACATGTTTAACACATTTTGAYTAAAACACCATTTAATATACTTTCAGAAAGCAAAGTAATATCTTAGTAGTGTTTTGCACTGCATTGAGAACAGTGCTGAAAAAATGAGATATTTTATCACATCTTRTTCCAGAGGAAAGAGGGTAACAGAACAAAACTGCATTTCCCACAGGTACAAAATGTGCAATCCCCACAGCCTTCTCAAGCCCAGACACCTAAGACAAAGAGAGGCCATCCTTTCCAACCATCCCCTACAATTCTTTCTGCTTCCCTGCTGAATATTTCCTTTCAGTTCCACTTCCTATTTTATTTTATTTTTCTTCTCAGTTGTCTTTCAAAGACAAACAGTTTTGGGACAGGTAAGTCCCACCTTTGCTGGTTCAGAGGTATCAGAGCTGCCATGAAGGTATGGAAGAAAGACTTTGCTTTAATTTGAACTCGAAGCTCAAAGTTCCATTTACAAAGTGCATGTGGCAAAGTTTGTACTGCCAAGTAGCAGCACATGACCTGACTCTAGAAGAATTCAACTCATCCAGGTCTCAAGAAAGCATGGAAYAAACACATGGGAACAGGAGATGGTAGAGGAATGTCACCTGCATGTCAGCAACCATAACACTGAGAATTCAGTATTGCTCAGACTTACAGAGCAATAAAATGTAAAGGAACMTAAAAATAGCTCTGTTCACTAGCAGAAGCTGAATTCAAATAAAAAACACTGTGAATACCAGGTGTTAAGATATGAAATATACAGTAAGGAGACAATTCTCATTTATAGTTCCCACTGTAGGCACAGGTCTTTGCAACACTGTTACAACAGACAAGTTTTATTTTCTGTTTAAGCAGCGACCCAACATCTCTCTGCACTACAAGAGTATGTCAAAGGCAAATACAGACAGTGGAGAACAGGATGTTTCTGTCCAGTCCTCACAGTAACAGCAGGTGCCTGGATGTAGGAAATTTCATTTCAGTCCCTGTAAAGTTTTTTTTCACAGAGGTTAAGTTATGCAGCTGAGCTCATGGCCTGGTGTGAGTCCAGCAAAGGGAATCCCCMTTCCCTGCCAGGCCAAGGGGGGTTGAACAGGGCAGAGCTCCCAGCTGGCCATGAACCGCCACTGCCACTCCTCACCACCCGGGATGCCTCTGGCACCACTCTACAGCCCCACCATGGCCCCCTCCACCAGCGGCCCCGCCATCGCCCCCTCAGGACCCCACAAGGCCCAGGACCACCACACAACTCAACTCCCCCCCATTCTTCCTTCCCCTTCGCAAGGACCCCCGGGCCGGGCCCGGCCTCAGAGCCAGCCCTGAGCGCCCCCGGGCCGCTCGCGATACCTGCGTGTCGCCAGCGAGGCCGGCGCTGCGCCACATCGCGACAGCGGCGACAACGGCGACAGCGGCGACAGCGGCGTCGTGCGGGAAGGGGCGTGCGGGAAGGGCGTGAGGGCGGGAACGGCCGCGCCATGGCCACGCCCCCACTGTGGTCACGCTCTGCTCCGATTGGACGAGCGCGTTTGGGGCGTGGTCTGGGCGTGGTCTCGAGGAAGRCTCCGCCCCCAACTCGCCCGTATAAGTCCTGGGGTGGCAGCGCGACATTAGCGGGACATCGTCGTACAGCACCGGGATAACGCCGGGACAACACCGGGCTGCAGGGGCCGGCCAGAACAGGGCAGGGTTGTGGGGAGCTGCAGCCCGGCCCTGGTGTGGTTTCGGTAGGGCTGCCGCAGGGTAGGAGGGCTCTGCAGGGGAATCCRGACAGGCTGGATTCATGGACCGAGGCCWGTTGTGAGGTTCARTAAGGACAAATGCTGGGTTGTGCACTTGGGTCACAACTCCTACAGTGCTACAGRMTGAGGCAGAGTRTCTGGAAAGCTGCCTGGRGGKAAA